AAATTTTTAATTGGCTTTTGGGCTTCAGTAGCACTCAATTAGCATGCTTGTTACATGTGAACACCAGGAATTAATTGGCCTGAGAGGAGAAAGTGATTCAGCCCTGAAAAGACAGAGCAGGTTTCATTTGACAAGTTGGTAGTCTCCAACTGCAGAATGTTGGGACGCCACTCTGCAATTGTAAGTAACAATGCAGCTGCAACTATTTATACATCCTTGCTGTCTTTCAGCAGGTTTTTGTCACTGAATGAAAAATGTATAGTTGAACTTGTGATCAACTCCAATGGCAATCAAAGAAAGTATTTGACCAGAGGGACTTTTTCTGTAATTAAAAATTACCTTAAGCTACACAAATTGTCTTAACATTGAACGGAAATGCTAATGAATTGTTCATTAAATTCTATTTGTTCCTAGTCTCTGTGATAATGTCACAGGAATTAATCAGATCCAGGGAGAAATCATTCACAGGCATGACCTAAACTGTCCACATACTATGCTGCCCTACATCAGGGAATGTGCTGAGTGCGCACATTAACACAACCACATCACGGTACTAACCAAGGGCAAGAGGCTGAATCTCTGATTACATTTACAGTACAAACTGTGGCAGTAGGATCGGATGCACAGGACATCAGGAGCTCATTACGCACTTTACATGCAATTAATCAAACAATGTAAACAAAGCTCGCTTCAGCCACAACAGACAGAGCCCCAGTCCCTGGTGGCAACTCAAATGCTGCACATACAGAAGAAGATTTAGTGAATACAAGGAATGTGAATTATGGAAAGTTAAAGATTCACAGCAAATCTGGAGATGATGTAAGAGTGCTGGCTTCCTGCTGAGACCACACACACAACTCTCTGCCTCCTCTCTTTCTTGCTGTTAAGCCTAAAGTCTCCTTCTCCTGCAGAATACATACGGTGTTAATGCAGAAATATCTGTGCAGGGAAAGTGAGACAAATACGCTGGAACAATGAAAGTATTACATGAAGGACACACAACATGAAGAACAACAATCTTACTGAGAGACTGGCCAGGCTTGTTCATGATCTCACCTCCAGAAGAGAAGTCATTTTCAATTTGCTGGATTCGATTGACATTTCTATCCTGGTTGTTACATTGGTGTGGTGTTAAAACCACTTTCTTACCCTGCAAATGAATATATTGTGAGCACAAGTTTAATCATTTGAAAGAGATAGTTATCTACTTTAAGTTAGCTAACTAGCTGCAAGAACATGCTACGCCAGCAAAATTTAGCAATAGCTGCAAGAGGAATATTGTTTTCTGACATGAGACATTAAAACTACAAAAAAAGAAAAATCAGTTGGGTTCAATAAAAATAAATTAAGCTGTTGGCCCGATGCTCCTCAACAGAGCAGTGTTTCAAAAAGCAATGTAAGTAACGTCATTAAACTTTAGAGTAGCTTGGTTTTCTGACTTAAATAGCTTTTCAGTCACTCAGCTGTTTAATAGATCAAGTATTATGAAGTCCACCAAAGATACTTATTCTAACAACCAAGTTGAAGTGCAGCGGAGCCTTCTGTTGCAGACTGAGATCAAACTGCTCAAGAAGAGTGAGAGACATTAGCTGACCCACAAATATATGTTTATGTAGCAAACTATTTACTTCCATATCTTGACTTATAATAATATTTGTACAGAGCGGCCCTTCGTATCTTCTAACCTTCATCAAACAGAAGAGTACAGGAACTTTTCTTACTGTCTGTTAAAAGGTCAGAAGTGAACAAGGGAAAACGGCTTTTAAGTTTGCTGCTCCCTTTACTTGGAACAAATTACAAAAAGAAACTTGAGACTTAATGAGCTGGTCTTATTAGATGTTTTAAGCAGCTGTTAGATAACTCTGTGGCAGACACAAACACTTTGTAAACTGTGCTGCCGCCTGTCTTGGCCAGGACACTCTTGAAAAAGATATTTTTAATCTGAATGAGGTTTCCCTGATTTTAAAAAGGTAATAATAAATAAAGTAGTTTTGATGTACTAAGCTATTTCTGCAGTGTTGCCGAAGCGAATTATACTTCTCTTTGGGAGGTAGCTTTAGTGAAGCTTAACTTAATGTAGTAATGTAGTAGCTTAGCGACTTACATTTAACAAGTAACCTGCCCAACACTGCTCTGCATCCCATATGAATAAGGCTTTAAACATAGCTCTTGTCTAAAATAGTAAAAATAGACCTTGTCTCTGTCTCTCCACGAACCAAGTCTCAGCAGACCCTAATGTGACTTGAAGACTACTAAACTGAATACATGGAGCAAGAATTGGGATGCGCTCATCATCTCTGCCCTCTGCCTCTTGGCAAATGCCAGAGGAAGCATAAAGCAGAACACGTTCGCAAAACTTGTCAAAACAGCTCCACTCAATTTAGAATTTTCTTTTGGAGTCTGTTTTTCTAGTGCCAGCTGTATCTTAAAGATCTGTTTGAAGAAGCTTCAAAAGGCTCTGCTCTGAATCAAACCTGGAAGTTAAATAACTGAAATCCAGCATTCTGTTTGCATGAGCTTTGAAGAAAAGTCCATTACTTTGTCTTGGTAATGGGAATTTCTGGCAAACTTTGTTTTTTTTTTGTTTTTTTTCAAATGTTACATTAAATCCTTATATAGTGAAAAAAGATTAGCATGGTCAAATAAAGGACAGTGACTGCTGGATCGTCTTTGAAGCTAACATGTACCCTTAATTGCTTTTAGCTACATATATTACTGTGCAGCTGCTATTGTAAATGTGATAAAGCTTTGAAAAATAAGTTAAAAGCATGTAAAATTGTATTTTTTTGTTCATCAGTATGTTGACACTTTATCTTAATGTGTTTCCTTTATCATGGTTTTTCAGAAAGACTGTATATTTTTAAAAGCGACCAATGTCTCAAAGAAAATTGTAACAAGGTTGCGTGACAGTTGCCCAGCTACATCTGGACTACGCAATCATGTCTGCAAAACTGTATGGCGAAGCCACTGAAGGACAACATTACAACCGAGAACATCTCAAACCATCCAGCCGTGACAGTGACAATGAGGCCTGTCCAGAAGTGTCACCTCTCCCTGTCTTTGCCTGTGTCTGTCTCCCTCCAACTCTGTTTTTCTCTTTTTCTATCCCTGTATCTCTCTCTCTCTATCTCTTTCTCTCTCTCACACACGTGCACGCGCACACGCACACACACACACACACACACACACACACACACACACACACACACACACACATACACAGAAGACAGAACATCTTTATTAGCGCTCTGTATGCAGCCTGTGCTCAGCCTGAGATTGGAGGACTGACCCCTCGCTGTGAGCTGTACAGGGGAAATGTTTACCCAAACCCCCACAGAACATGCCATTAACCTCTTTCTAGACAGAAGACAAACAGTAATGTCCCTCCATGAGGGCAATAAAGACAGGGACACCTATCCAGCACCATCATGACAATCATCTCATTATGAAGCTGCAGGAGGCAGGAACTAGCTGGGGAGCCTTCGTTTTCTCAGGGACTGCTCACAGCAGTGTACAACATTCAGTGAAGTACCTGTTAAATGCATTGAAGTGCAAACAACTGATTAACCCAGGACTGAGGAATAAAATGAAGCCCCTCAACTCCATCAACCACCTCTGCCCCTTTTCAAACCAATCCCCATCCATTCCTTTTTCTTCCAATCCTACCTGTTTCTTCTTCCCAATCTCCTTTTGTATCTCTTGCCCTCCAAGCAGGGGTTTGCCCTGAATTTGACTTGGGTGGCTCAACTTCAGCACTACTTACAGTGTCATGATACGTACAAGAACCATAAAGCTGTTGTGTTGAAATGCCTCGAAAGCAGTCCTTTGCAACACAACCCAGTTCATTAGACATAAGAACCATCTCAAAATTTGCAAATAACCAATCAGAGCTTAAGATTTTAGGTTGACACCGGAGGTGGCCCATTATATTTAATGAGGGGGCCATGCTGACCCAGTTCCATCCACTGGACACACCCCTGCACAGGAGATATTGATTGATATCCTCTGACTAAAGCCCCCAACCTGGGAGGGTCTCTCAGTATGTGGTAAAATAAATGAGGGGTTGTAAAGGGCAGTGAGGAGTGTGGGCACTAGATTGTGAGCATTATTCAATAAGAAATTGACAATTCCCCTGATGTTAGATTAAAATCCCCCATTGCACACATCAAGCACAGATATACACCACCAGCTCACTCTCATCCCAGATTGAGGGTCTTCTCCTGGGTGGGCTTAAGAGCCCACTGCTGGCTATGTTTTACCTGTGTCGTTTGAAGAGGCCATTATTTTTATTGAAAAAAGTTACCCGTCCGCCAAAGGCAAGCGGTACAAGATGGTGGGGAAAAAATAGGGACGAAAATTAAACAAAAACACCAGATGGTGATATACATGGTAAAAATTATTGTTTATACTTACTGTTTGATTATATGTGATAATGAGAGCGGGATTCCTCAAGGCAATTAGTGTCTGTGGCAGCCATATTGTGAGAGGACAGTGGAAGGACAGCAAGGGCTGTTATGAAGGAGCGCTTATCAAATAAATCTCCGCTCGGGTGATTAGTGTAATAAGACACTGCAAGGTGAGATAGGCCACTTGTGCTCTTTTAGCATGTCAGCTTAGGTGTGTGTGTGTGTGTGTGTGTGTGTGTGTGTGTGTGTGTGTGTGTGTGTGTGTGTGTGTGTGTGTGTGTGTGTGTGTGTGTGTGTGTGTGTGTGTGTGTGTGTGTGTTTGTGTTGAATGAAGCAGGAAGAATGCATTGTTTTGTGTGATGTGAGAGAAAACGAGGCGCAGTGAGAGAGTCGGAGAAAGCGGGTGCGTGACTCTTTCCATCTGTTTCCATAACTGTGTGTGTCTGAGTGTGTGTCTTAATGTACACTGTATCCCCATGTGCCTCAGCATGTGCATGTATGATATCATTCCTATAATAATGTTGGTTTCCGTGCCAGGGCGCTTGCCCTGAGGGGCTTTAGCCTATGACAGAGGGTAGATCGGAGGGCACTTACCCCTGGCAGAGTCTTCTGTTCATGGAGGGCGCTCTGGGCCTTCAGTGCTGACTCTCTGGCACAGTATGTAAGAAAGGCACATCCTAAAGTGGTAGGGAGACAGTAAAAAGATATGGTTATACCACCAGGCAATGCCTGCACAACTACGCACCACCCATTATGATGAAAAGAAGAAAAGGTGTTGTAGAGACAGAGAAATTATGGCTACAGAAGAGTATTCACAGTATGTGCTTTTATCATCCCAAGTAGGCGTAAAGACTTTAATATATAAAACATAAAACTCAAAAAATATAAAGTAATATTTCTGTCATAATTATGATCCGGGGATTTCAGAATTATTACCCCAGAAAATAAAAGATCTAACATGTAAAAAAAATAATGCTTGTAAACAGTAAGAGAACAAACCACAAAGCAGAATTACAAAATAAAACCTACAGCTCTTCATCATTTTAATGTAAGCCTATTTTGTGAACACTCAAACACACATCTTTTCAATGAGCTCCTCCGTGATAATCCACTCTAAAGACAAAGTAAGACTTACACCTCTCCATAGATGTTTATTGAGGAATTAAGCTACAGCCGGCTGCAAAAAGGAAAACACATAATATAAGACTTACTGGAGTTTTACAAGCTATTGCCAAAAACATGTATTATATTAAAATGAAATTCATATTCTCCGCTGACAATTGGAATGTGGCTCTCTGAAGTTAATAGCTCTATACCCTCATAGAAAATAGCGAACTGGTTTAGAAATACAATTCTAATTCCATGCCTTTTTTTAATTCAAAATATAGAATCCCTTTCGCATTACATTCAAGAATGTCTTCCGCTACTTTGTTTGTAACTATATTGTTGTTTTTGTTTTCATCTAACTGTCATTTTAAAAGAGTAAAATGCACCGGTGGAGTGTTGATGGAAAAATACTTAATCTCCCACAAAAATGTATGTTGGTTTTTTATTTTAAAAAACTGTGAATAGCTTTCCAGTAATGATCTTTTTCTTAGTTATTGAACTTGGCACATAGGAGTTTAAAAAAGTCAGACAGTATGCCTGTGTTTTTAGCTGCCAAGTCATCAAAGTGAAGCATGAAACTAAACCCTTTCACTTTCCTCGAGACTTTTCTGTGTTTTTAAAAAGTGTGATAGAAGAGAATGAATATTCATGAATAAATAAGTCCCTAATGTTAATGTGACAGCTTTCATTAAAGGGCGAGTGGTTGCTCTGTTACGCACTTGGCAGAGCTGACAGTGGGTGACCCCGTTCAGAAGAGGTTTTGCACTGTGCAGCATAATTTCCCATTACTACATGTCACACCTGCTGCCAAGAATTCCCATGGGAGAGGAGAGACACACACGCACACTCACACACACATTCTCACACATACAGATGATGTGCGGCTTGCAACGCATAGCACCCATCAGCCCCCCCAAAAAACCAGCAACACACTCTGGCGCCCAGCCAAGAGTCTCCCTTTCACGACAACCTTCACCCACCTCCACAACTAGGCGGTTACTGAAGAGAAAAGAATCTGCTAAACGACACTGATGAAACACATGCTGCACAGCAAAGCAGGAAAGTTTTGGAGCCTGGGGAAACACTCTTCATCCTTTGTGACATTACAAAACTGCGGGACAAGAGCAGAGGCTTCCCAGGGGCCATGTACGAGCAAAGGCTTATGGGAATCATATGCTTGTTGTCACTTTTTTGCCACTGTTTTAACCTTTTCAGAGTTTCTCACTGAGCTGCTTTGCAGCAAAATGTCATGATGTTTACAAAGCATTTCCAGATAACACTAGATAAGTTTCCATCTGGTTATTACCCACATTTATAACTTGTTTCATTTTGGGTTTGTTCATGCCTTTATTGGAGAGACGGGACAGTGGATAGAGTCAGAAACCAGGGAAAGAGAGAGCTGGGAATCACATGTGGGAAAAGAGCCACAGGTTGGAATCGAAATCAAGACTGCATCGATGACAGCCTCTGTACATGGGGTGCTTGAACTAATCACAAGCCACTGGTGCCCCACATTTATAACTTTAAAAATGTCCCCAGTACAAATCAGTATGTTTTTCATCCTGACTTGACATTTTACAGGCTGTAAAAAAAAAAAACCTTTCCATGTTTACATGCTATTGATCCAGGATGTGCAGGACAGTATAACTTTCTCTCAGCACCTCAACATACTTAGTTTCAGAAACACTATTTATACAAGTTCTGGGCTTAAGTACAAATTTGATACAAATATACTCCCCTATAATTATTTTACAACTATAGTTGTGAATAATTTCAGATTGTACTAATCTTTTGATTGATCTAATTTCTGAAGAAATAATTTCCTCAACTACAGATATTTAAATTAGTGCATGCATTTTAATGCTTCAATCAAATGATACAATAATATAACAATGGTGGCAGCTCAGAAAAATGTAATTTTAGTTTGTATAGATATAGTTTGAAAATTGATTTGCAAATACTTGCAGTAATTTTACTAATACGTTTACTTGAGTGCAGACCATTCGATTGTTGGGTAAACAGTTTTGTAGTCGTACTTGCTTATGTTGTTTTTTCCGAGGAGCGAGCTCAAAGGAAGTGAAATTGCATCTGTAACAAGTGAAGCAAAAATCTCCCTGGGATGATCTGTTAGGCTGCTTCAAGACAAATTCAATGTGATACTATTAGTTCAAAAGACTTGTTTAACTGGACTCTTCCTAGACTATAGCTCTCAATAATCAGCTCAGGTTATTGGGTGGTGGATCATTGGAAGAGGAAATTAAGAAATTTCCTCTGACAGTGTTGACCCAGGGGTCATCTTTTCTCCAAAGGAGTCAGGGAATGAGAAAGCCACGCGAGGAACAGATGAGCGTTGGGATGGAGAACATCTAGAGAGCCTGAATGATGTTTGAATGGGGATGAAAGGGATGTAGCAGCATAGCAGGTGAGGACTGTCAGCTGGAAATTTAAACATGACTAACAGACATGGGATAGTCCTCTGGATATTATGATACAAATCTTGTACATTTTGAGGTATATTTTGAGTCTTTAAGCTGCTTAATTATTTTGCAGTATTGTAAAATACATTTTATTAGTCGAAAAAAAAACCCGTCTGGTCCTTGCTTCAAATTCCTTTAAATGTAATGATACTGAAGATGTACGCTATTCAACCTCTTGAAATAACTCTTAACATTTTAACCTTCCTTCCTCAATTGTAGTTGTGATTTATGAAATATAAAATGGATACATGTTGCATGCATTAAATGTGAAGAAGAGGAATAGTAGAAGGAGGACATGAGTCTTAAAATAAGGGTAGACTCTAGTGGTGGTTTACCAGAAAGACTAGCGGCTCCTGTGATGAGCAGGTTAAGAGGGGTGAAAATAATACTTGGGTAATCAAAGACAATTTGCCACACTATAATTTCAATGAGGGACAAAAGTTCAACAAATTATATTCAAGGCAAATGAAAAAGTAAACCCTACAAACTACTTCAAAGAGAATGCAGGAAATGTGGAAAGGTGTTTTCGTGTTTGCAAAACACGTTCAGGGTAATTACTTAAAGAACTTTCCCCCATGTAATGCTTCTTCTAACACTTTGTTTTTAAAATGGAAATTAGCATGTGCTCACAATTGCATGCATCCAGGCATTAAGACTAAATTGGGCTTTTTTAAGGCTTCAGATACCTGTAATTGAAATAACTCCAGAACAAATTTGTATAAAATTTCAATTCATTAGCACGGAAATCATGAATCATGAGCAATTTGCTCTCCTTCAGTCTCCACTCACGTCTGAGCCTAGAATGTTCATTAAAGTGGAAGAAGAATGCAAATTAATTTCCACAAAATATCCAGGCACAAGACAGAAAAACAACTGGAAGCTACAGAATATGACCCTGACCCACTCATTGATACTGAGAATAATACAAAGTGAGTTTTTTCCTCTGCGTCTTGTTTCTTTGGTAACCACACTATTATCTGGATTCATCTACATTTCAAGTAGCTGTAGCAGTTAGCTGTCTGGTTCACATGCAGCCACCCTTTCTAATGATCAAAGAGGTCATCTGAAGACTTAAGCTGCACCTGTCATTCAACGCTCGGAAACTGTCAGTCTCTGTCCAGCACATCCTTTACAACGCTCGTTTTGTAGATAAAACCCCATTACAAACATGGATCTATCTGAACCTCCTCTGGGTGGCAACAAACGTCTGAAAACTATTTTAAAAAAACAGAAACATCTATATCACAGAAATCCACAAATCTCTCTACTAATTTAACAACAAAGTTTTGTTTTTACTTTCTAAGACAGATTCCCAAAATGATAACAGCTACCCTAAGTTTTTAACTTTTGACATTTTAATGCCTGGGAGATTTTTTTATATCAACTTGGCTGGCTATTTATAGCCAATGCCACTGCATGGACCAACCAAGGAGAGCAAAATGGATGAGGATATTTAACATCTCTTTGTATCACCTCCTCCTGACTGCGTTCTAAAGCTCAGAGTCCCTGCTCTCAGCATCAGAGACGGATTGATAGATAACACTACTCAAGCAAAAGATTTGCCCCCTGCTAACATTCAGCATGTCTGAACAATGCATGCATTCTGGCACTGACACTTAGTATTATGATAATGGAGTGCTCAGCAAAATGATGGATGTTAAACAGCATGACCTGGCTGCAACACAGCACACAGCCAATAGTGTCAAGTCATACCACGCGCTGTGTAAGGTTCCCTGACAACATGGAAATTATCAAACCGGCATTAAGGGCTCCAGTGTCCAACGAATACAGGGTGAGATCATTTGTAAAAAGAAAGCACCGTAAAAATCCTTTTGAATACACATCAGCAAACAGCTACATGAAATAAATTATCTCAAATTCCCCAGATATTCAGAAAAGTCCCTGGAGGAAGCCTAAATGTCCAAACTAAGAATTCACAAAGCACAAAACATCTGTTCAAGCTGCTGCAGTACAATCCACATGAATTAGTCATAAGCGAACATGACATATTTTGATCTGCCCTTAAATCCATAATTATGGTGCAATGCTAAGTCACAGGACTCAGGCTGTGAAAGAAAGTAGTGCTGCAAATCATCTATTAGGTACGGTTTACTAACTGATGCCAACAGCAGTATACATCATCCATCCAAAACAAATCAAATCATTCTCAACCACAAACTCAGCTCAAAGAGGGATTTGAAAGTAGTAGTCAAACTCAATTTACGGCAATGCATTAAATCTTTATGAACTTTATGTTTTTTAGGGATTATGGAGCCAAACTGATTATATCCTCCCCCTCGCTTCTGTTGCTCTGCTTTGAAAAATGTTTGTGTGACTGTTTGGGATAAAAAATGTGGGTTGAATTAGTGACAGTGTTACAACATTTGGAGCCTCCTGGGCCATTTCCATAATAGCTAACCATGACCCATTGGCTGTTGCATTTGTGTGAACAAAAACAGAGCACAAACTACTTTTCAAGCCAGATATACTGTGGGGAAAGATTATGCAAAACTTTAAATTGTACAGACCTGAAGGAAATTACTTAAGGTCTGTAATACTGTGCTGTTGATAATACCTACACAGCTCAGCACACACCACTTGTCTGTGTAGATTAATCCATACAGCCAACACAATGACTAACTTTTACTGGACCGTTAGATATAGAGCAGTGTATGCAGTGAAGATATTTCAGCACTTTCAGCAACCGAGGGATTAATGTGTGTAGACCGTGTATCTGAGATTATCATGTGACACAAGTGTCAATAAACCAACCTCATGTGACAGAATGATGCAACAAAATCAGAGAGGTCAAAATGTCCAGGCCTTCAACCAGTAGAAATAATAAAACCCTATGTATGAGTAGCATACCACTTACAGCTAGAACACTTTGGCCCAATACGTGACATCATAGGCTTGGTCTGCTTACACACATACTGAATATTTTTGAATAATTTTTTTTTCTTAAATTTTTTTCACATGGGGGGGCGCGCTGGTGGCGCAATGGTTAGGGCGCGCGTCTCCATGTATTGAGACTCTCGTCTCGAGCGGTAGGCCCGGGTTCGCTTCCACCCGTGGCCCCTTTCCGCATGTCATTCCCTGTTCTATCCACTGTCCTATCTCTGCATTAAAAAAGGCACGAAAAGCCCAAAATAAATCTTAAAAAAAATAAATTCACATGAGTCTCATTTGTTCTTATCAACGAGTAGGGGTTGGGGGTCTTCTTTAAACTCGCATGAATCTTTAATTTGACCCTTGGAAGCAGCGGAAAATAAACCATTCATACAACACAGACATTTTGAACCTCCTGTAAACACTTGTTTATTTTAACAAATGGCACGTTTCCTGCAAGCTGGATAATGCAAGTTAGTATATTTACTTTCCTTTAGCTATGTGTTTTGACTTCAATACATCTTTAACAAATAAAGGTACAAATACATTCAGCAGCTAGTAACCAAGTTTATCTGTAGGTGGCTTGACTGCGGGCCAAAAAGCATTTGGCTCTAAAGATATTTAGCTGGAAAAAAACTGAAGCTAAAAAAAGTTTATTTGTATTGAACGTTTAAAACAGACTCAGCTGATCAAAGTGATTTACAGAAAAGGCATATAAAAAGATAACAAAGACATTCAAATGATCGAGTCACAGACAAACAGAATAACATTGAATTAAATAAACAAATACATTTGAATCATAGATTTAAGTTGTTTTACCTAATTTCAAAGGCCAGGGGGAAAAGGTGGGTTTTGAGCTGTGCGTTGAATGAATATAATGGCTTTGCACATCTGATGCGGGGAGGTTATTGGTTCCACAGACGGGGGCCAGCAACTGAAAAGGCACGGCCATCGCTAGTAGTAGTGTGGACATAGAAGTAGTAGTAGTAGGAAGGAAGGCTCTTGTGCAGCTTGGTTCAAAGAAACATTTCATGACAAAAAGTATGTAAATGATAAAGCTCTTGACAATAGCCATGAGTGTGTATCAAGAGTTTTTAAAAAAAAGTCTTAATAAACTTCAAAAAAAGAAAATGTAATCTCAACAAACTTGTGTAGCTTTTCAAAGAACTTTCACAGTTTAGTAAGTCATTAGTTTTACCTTCAATTCACTTGCAAAAGCTTTTTCTTAGTTTCAGAAGGAGCTTTCAGTCAGTGTTTTAGACTTGTTTCCCTGAGTGACACAGATGGGGATTCACTTTACCTTTTTCTGTTTTGTTAACAACACTAATCCCATTTTCTCCCTCTTGTACCTTCTTGCTTCAGTGTTCAGATATTAAACACACAGACGCAGCAGGGTTACATGAACATGCTTTAGGTGAGCAGCCAATAAGAAAAACTCATCCGTATAATGCATTGCGGAAATCTTATTAAAAGTGCATGCTTGTGCTCCCAAAGTGACTTTGAATGTCACACGGGTTGAAGTGGGTATAATGCATATATCAGAGTGGCCTTGGTGGAGGATGATTTGAATGGGCAAATGGTCTGGCTTTGGAACAGGATTATCCTTCCCAAGGAAACCATCCTCCGGAGTGTTGACATTCAGGGATGGTTGAGGACGGGCGTAAACAACATGAACATCAGACATATTGTTTTAATCGATCATGGGGCTCTGAGGAGGAGCACTGGGAAGGAGCAAACGCAGGTTCAGCGACTAACGGCTGGAGGAACAGGTGGTGCATGGAGACCTGCTTCGCGTCCGCACACACACAAGAGAGAAACAACGCTGAGACCACACTCGTTTCTCCCACAAGAGCGCTTGATTTTCACTGATCAATAAGATCATGAACTGCACTTACTAACTTACATATCATACATAATTTGCCAGCCTTATGTATACATTATTTGAGTAAAGAGAAAGGGGGATTCAATGGTACAATTGTTCAAATGTGAAGTGGACTTGTTTTCCTGAGGATTTAATTTCATATTTATACCATCGCAAAAGAACTATCTGCAAAATAGTATAAATCTCAATTATCAGTATCAGTGGCATTTTAATGTTGTACCTAGCAGTGCAGTCCCAAACTGTCCTCAGTCTGCTTATGATGACACGAATACTGGATATGTGACCTTATTTTGCATTCCAGTAATTCTGGTGTTTTAAGCACTACAAAATAAAATCTTAAAATACAAAAACAACAATAATGATAATAATGTTGTTGTTTTTTTTAGTAATTTGGAAAAAGTACAAGATTTTTTTTACATATAATAAAACAAAGGTGGGAAAGCTTGCAAAAAAAATGGAATAACTGCAAATAGGGCTACTTTGAAAAATGAACATCACAATGCTCATTAAATTACATTTTTCTGTGCACAAAATGTAAGAAAAGAGTGGCATTTAATAGCAAAAGCAATAAGTTGTGTTTCAAGCAAACTCGGTTTTTTTTTTGTACCTTAAAGACCTTCCAGCTGTGACCGCACTGTGACACTCATAACTATCAGCAGACTTGATCCGTGTTTTCCCCTGGCCCTAACTAATTCATAAGTTAACACTGATCCCGCTCGCTTTGGACAACGAGTGAGGATGAGTAGGGGGCTGACAAGAGAACAGAACAGGCGAGGGGACGATCCATGCTGGATCTCTTGCTCTACTATTATCCTGCTTTGTACTTCCTGACTGCAACCCGCCCACGGAGCAGCGTTGGTCTACAATTCAGCTGCCATGCAAATAGTATTTTCCACAGATAATAATGACGTCCGAAAAGTAGGCTACATAATAGCGTGCAGAAAGGTCAAAGCAGCATGTAAGCACCGTCGTAATCACTGATAGCCTGATAATGGTTTTCATTTTCCGCTCCCCTGAAAGCATTCGTTTCTCTCAGACAATACGCAGCAAATGGTGATCGTGATGCACGACAGAAGCTTGTTTTGTTTTAGTTGTGGAGACATTTCCACAGCTGCACAAATAACACAGCATCGAGCGCGTGCCTGTCCCGCCCCCTTTCGCTGGGCTGCTCAGCACATGAGAGTCAATGTAAACACACAAAGGCGTTTTCAGCTGTAGTATTCACGTGGACGGGCTGACAATTAACCCTGCGTATGCAACCCATTCACTTCCACGTGTTTCCTTCTCACGCCTCATAACCTATATTTATGTGTGATTGCGTGTGTGTCTATGTGTCTGTGCACGCGTGTATGAAGGCTCTACCGGGCTCCCACTCTGTCCCAAACATCTGCAAATGTACACACTTTTCATGCCCTTTCCCCCCAAAACTCAAAGCAGAACGTTCTTGAATGTCTCTTCTTTGAATTTCACACATGAAAGTGAAAATATTCAAACAACCAACCTTTATGCATTCCCGTAAACCTGTCTTTCAGTACAGTGAGTTCGTATATCTTTCCGAATTCCTCAAAGAGGGGTTTCAGGTCTTTTTCCTCCAGGTTTCTGGGAATCTGGCCGATGAAAAGCTTGATGGCGTCGTGGTCCTTCATGGGAATGGTGTTCTGGCCGATGGTAAGCCCGTTCATCCTGCCGGCGCTGTTCGTGGTGCTGAATCCATTCTCCTGCTGCACTCCGTTTGCAGTGACTGTAGCCATCTTTCCTCAATGGGCCGGCAGAGCTGCTCTCTCTCACTCACTCACTCACTCTCTCTCTCTCCCTCTCTCTCTCTCTCTCTGTGTGCACACTCCCCCCTTCCGTTATTTCTGCTCCTCTCTCCTCCCCTCCTCCTGTTTTACTTCCCTACTCTCTCCTCTTCTCTTTCTATTCAGCCTATAAGCCCCCTTGTTGGTAATCAGCCCCTGTTTATTTTTTGTGGTGCTATAGGTGTTTTCAGTTTTGGTGCCCCCCCTCCCCCCCTTTCACTGTGCACGTGACGCCAACTCTTACTCCCAAAGACAGACCACGCCCACATTCCGATTTGCATATTAAGCTTGGCATGGGCCAATTAGAGGGCAGGATGGCTGAAGGCCCCACAGGGCAGAGTAAGAATGCAAACATTTGTGTTGAGTGGAGAGCTTGGATACATTTAAAGTGCGGAAGCGTCTTCTGCATGTATTAGGGCATTTAGTTTTCTTTTAGCAATAAGGTTAAAAAAAGATTCAGCTTGATGAGAATCAGGGCTGTCTAATGGCAAATAATCTAATTATCGTGATGCTCTGAATCATTATTTTTAGATTGAAAGTATAACAATCCCTCTAGTCAAATACAAATTGGAACTGTAGTTCCATATTATTTTTGCATATTGACAACTTCAAAATCGTTTTATTGAATGCTTTCTAAAAGATTGAAGTTTGTAGACCATGTGACTTGGCCCCCTGTCCATATAATCCCTCTGGTATGCTTGACTCAGTTGTTAGTTGTGCTCCTGAGTTTTTTAGTCCTCTCGGGTAAATGACTGCATTATTCTGGCATGCTGTGCAGAAAAAAGTCCTTTTCAGATGTTTGGAAAGAAAACCAGCAGGGCTGTAAGTCCCGAGGACTAGTCATGAAAGTCACTGCTGTGAAGCCTTGTAGAAATGTTCTCTGCAGCAGTGGTTCTCAATCCTGGTCCTCGGCCCTGCTCGCTTTCATTCTAGTCATCTAACAGAGGCTATTTTGCACCTGCGAGGCCAGGTGAATGCTATTAACTGGCCATGAGGGGAGAGAACTGACAGAACTGTGTTTCCTGGAGATAGAGAGCCACAGCTCTATGATACTGTGCTTAACTTACCTAATGGAAAGTATGTATCATTCATGGTATATGTAGGTGCCCTACATGCTTAATAAAATTCCAAATCTCAAGGATGTTAGATAAAAACACTATTGTTACTGGCAAACACCCAGACCCTATGTCAGAGTTTTATCATAACAAAAAGGGCTATAATTAAATAAATGGAATCCAGTTGCAACCCCAAAAATATATCACACACAGAGACATACACAGTCTACAACACCTTTTTTTTTAAACCCAAAGTTTATGAAACAAACAAATTCTTAAATGTACCCCAACATGGAGACCTGCTAAAGTCATTGTGGGGTCAGCCAAAGGACAGTGAGTACAGAGTTTTCAAGATTTTGTCCAGACACAGCTCTGAATTTAGTTTATACTTCAAGAGGACTTATTGAACAGTTTCTTAAATGATGGTTAAAATGGATCCTTTATTTCAAGCAGGATGCTAGCACAATAAAAACATGTGCAAAAGCCCTATAGGATAAACTTTTAATAAGTAAGCTATGGATTCATGCAGTTTGCTCAGGTCTTCAAGGATTATCATAGTTTACATATATGCTGCAGGTCTTCAAATGCAGTGGGATCTTAGTATGAAAATCTTTAGTATGTATGTTTTTCTAAACATTTAAAAGCTCATTAGTGCTTTTTCATGGAGGCACGGTCAGGTGCTGGGATCAAAGGCATATTTGGCTGAATAATTAAAAAGATAGCAGGATTCTGAAATGCAACGCACAGCAGCCCATGGAGTGTTTAACTATTTACAAACAAACCTGCCTCCCTTACATAAAGACATAGCAGAACATAACAGTGTGAGCAGATGGAGAGAAAAGAAGGAGATAATAAAACACTGTGGCTTGAAATGATGTCAGCTCAAACCTGTCTGAGGATTCAGAGCTGCCTTTTGTCACTGTCCGTGGTGCTGAATCAACACTGCCATTCAGAGACCGTGAAATAGATTGTTGGAGCTACAATTTGAACGGTACATGTTTGCACTTCAAATTTTCCACGCCTTCTATCTGTCTGCCATGCACAATTTCCTAAAAGGACTGCCCTTTACTTCACACAGAGAATGATGCATTCAAAGCCACTGTTTGGTATTTATTCAAGTGAGCATGTGCACTGCCAGTGTTGTTGTTACTTGCACAGTGTATTCTGTACACAGAAAGGTCTAATTAGTGCAGATGGGAATATAACATCAATACCTGGGCAGTGCAGCTCATACTGATAGGATAGTTATAAGTCATATGACAGCATTAATGTAGAACATAGCATGTATCAATAATCCGTTGTGTGTGGAGAATTCATTAGAATTAATTGGTAATTAGGGCTGCGTTGTAGCATTTAGACTAACAAGATGTGCCATTTGTGTGTGAATGAGCAAAAAAAGGGATGCTGACAACACTAGAAGTGTTGTTCTGTTACAGAGTCTGACCTCTGACCCCCTTTGGACTTGGGAAAAATAAAGAGAAAAAAACATCTTCTGGGATCAGAGTAGGATCACAAAAAACGTCATGTCTATTATTGAAATGCAATCAAGCAACATGTTTAACCTCTGTTAGGTCAAAATTAATTGGCTGGTAAAAAGATGTAATTAAAAAGTAGTTTGTCGTGTTGCTTATACTAATTGGGGAAAAAAGCTGCCTTAGAACCTTTCAAGAATATAAAATATGTCTATCTATCTATCTATCTATCTATCTATCTATCTATCTATCTCTCTCTCTCTCTCTCTATCTATCTATCTCTCTCTCTCTCTATCTATCTATCTCTCTCTCTATCTATCTATCTCTCTATCTATCTATCTATCTATCTATCTCTCTCTCTATCTATCTCACTCTTTCTCTATCTATTTATCTATCCACTTATCCATCTAGTATGTGTCTGTCTGTCTATTCATAAATAAGTACAATGCACACACATTTAAAGCATTTTTTTGTGGAAAAATTGATCAAAAACAGAATTTCCCATGAGTCAGGAATTGAGTTGACAACTTTTTCCCTCCTGATACAGATGCAAATTTGACATTTGAATGCCATCTCAGCGAGCTACTTAGTATTTATGTTATCAGAGGAACAGTCTTATCTATCATGAATTAACAACGGGGTGGTCACCTTTTTCAGGACTAGCTCACATTATGATAAGCACATATATTTGTATGGAGAAGTGTCACAACGTACCCCATGAACTCTTTAGAACACTAGGAAGTAAGGAAGTCAGCTTTGATGGGTTATACTGTATTCTCTGTGTGTGTGTGTGTGTGTGTGTGTGTGTGTGTGTGTGTGTGTGTGTGTGTGTGTGCATGCTTGCGTGCGCATTCACCCTGATGTCTGTCAGACTGATTTGTCTTTGGGGATCATAATGTTCTGAGAGCAACTAACAGTAACATCTGGCACTGCATTGGCTTTGTTATGAATATATTTATTTATTTTACATTTAATCATGTCTTTTTAGACCATCTCAGAGTTTTTTTCACTCCAAATGGGGATCAGAACACAACAGGTCTCCCTTGTCAATCGCATCAGGGCTATTCTTTCCCACAAACGCTTAGCTAATTTAGTGTCAGTGTTGCTTATTGGCTTTGTGAATGTTGTTTTCTTGTTTTTTTGGGGGTTTTTTTGTAAATTCTCTGCAGGACAGTTTGCCTTAGGAAGTCTTGCAAACTGGCTGGCAGGAAGAATCATAGGTACAGCAAGATCTCTTCAATTATGCCTGTGTGTAAGCATCCTCTTTGTTCGAGCACAGGCAAGCGTATCAGAAAGGTTGACAGGGTTCTTCTTCTTGTCTGTGCCAAGCTCAGCAACTGGATGGCTGCGCAGGGCACCTCTGCCGATTGCTCTCCGTTCAGACAAAAGAGCAGTCAGAATAGCTCCAGCTGTGTTTGTGAAGTGGGTTTGAGCTCGCATAAAGCAACACAAAGGAAAAACAGTCCCTCAAGGATCATGCACACCTGGAGACACATTTCCCCCAAATTATTTTTTTTATTGTTTCATTGTTTCTGGATGGAAACTGTATTAGCCCATTAGCAACCAAGGAGGATTTTACCTCCACTAGAATTGGAAACAGGTGGGTGTAAATTTGTCAGCAAAATCACCTCCAGGCTAATGGAAACAATATTTACCCTGGGTATTTCAGCCAGTATAAGTGCAATTTTTACAGTACAAAGTGGTTGGCATTTCTGTCATAATCGCTAAATTTTTCATCCCACTGTCAAGGTGACTTGTTGGAATGTCACAGACACACCACTTGAAATAGCCCCCGAAAATATAGTCCCTTAAAGGAGCAAAAATCAGTGACATAAGTCATGCATTGTGCATAACAGCTTGGTGTCATGCACAATTCCTTTATACTGTGTGTTCATTATCCCATTAAACAGGATATATGGAGTGAGCCAGGTGGAACACAACCATGCATGAACATTTTTCACTGTCTGATTTGTAGAAGAGTCCAAAAGAAGAGCCAACATTCATATTCACTGCACAGCAAGTAAGAGGTGTGACAGTATTTTTTGTGAATATGAGAGTGTATATGGTAATACCAGGGCAGCCGCAAACCTCAGCTGCAGACTCTGCCTGAGGGAGGGAGGGGCACCCCCACCCCCAACACATACACCAACTCTCCGAGATATAGAACCTTTCACTCTCTGAGGCCATAATTTTGTCTTGAAGCACAATCACTTGCCACTTCATTTGCGTCTGTGCTGCAGGGAAAATTCAGGAAAGGTTGTTGGTGTAGAATGATTGTTTGGGATAAATTAAGTTTTGCTCACTTTACTTTGAAAAGGTGAATTGCATCTCTGTTTTCCCTTATGGGTGGTGTTTTGTCTGTTCTGCTGTTGATGTACTGCTGAATGATAAGCAGGCTTCTCGCTGCATGTTTAAGTTCACTTGT